ACGCACCTCATCTCAACGCGCCTCATCTCAACGCACCTCATCTCAACGCACCTCATCTCAACGCACCTCATCTCAACGCACCTCATCTCAATGCACCTCATCTCAACGCACCTCATCTCAATGCACCTCATCTCAACGCACCTCATCTCAACGCACCTCATCTCAACGCACCTCATCTCAACGCACCTCATCTCAACGCACCTCATCTCAACGCACCTCATCTCAATGCACCTCATCTCAACGCACCTCATCTCAACGCACCTCATCTCAACGCACCTCATCTCAACGCACCTCATCTCAAACGCACCTCATCTCAATGCACCTCATCTCAACGCACCTCATCTCAACGCACCTCATCTTCAACGCCACCTCATTCTCAACGCACCTCATCTCAACGCACCTCATCTCAATGCACCTCATCTCAACGCACCTCATCTCAATGCACCTCATCTCAACGCACCTCATCTCAATGCACCTCATCTCAATGCACCTCATCTCAACGCACCTCATCTCAACGCAACCTCATCTCAACGCACCTCATCTCAATGCACCTCATCTGAACGCACCTCATCTCAACAGACCTCATCTCAATGCACCTCATCTCAACGCACCTCATCTCAATGCACCTCACCTCAATGCACCTCATCTCAATGCACCTCATCTCAACGCACCTCATCTCAACGCAACCTCATCTCAACGCACCTCATCTCAACGCACCTCATCTCAATGCAACTCATCTCAATGCACCTCATCTCAACGCACCTCATCTCAACGCACCTCATCTCAACGCACCTCATCTCAACGCACCTCATCTCAATGCACCTCATCTCAATGCACCTCATCTCAACGCACCTCATCTCAACGCACCTCATCTCAACGCACCTCATCTCAATGCACCTCATCTCAACGCACCTCATCTCAACGCACCTCATCTCAACGCACCTCATCCCAATGCACCTCATCTCAACGCACCTCATCTCAACGCACCTCATCTCAAACGCACCTCATCTCAATGCACCTTCATCTCAACGCACCTCATCTCAACGCACCTCATCTCAACGCACCTCATCTCAACGCACCTCATCTCAACGCACCTCATCTCAATGCACCTCATCTCAACGCACCTCATCTCAATGCACCTCATCTCAACGCACCTCATCTCAATGCACCTCATCTCAATGCACCTCATCTCAACGCACCTCATCTCAACGCACCTCATCTCAACGCACCTCATCTCAATGCACCTCATCTGAACGCACCTCATCTCAACAGACCTCATCTCAATGCACCTCATCTCAACGCACCTCATCTCAATGCACCTCACCTCAATGCACCTCATCTCAATGCACCTCATCTCAACGCACCTCATCTCAACGCACCTCATCTCAACGCACCTCATCTCAACGCACCTCATCTCAATGCAACTCATCTCAATGCACCTCATCTCAACGCACCTCATCTCAACGCACCTCATCTCAACGCCACCTCATCTCAACGCACCTCATCTCAATGCACCTCATCTCAATGCACCTCATCTCAACGCACCTCATCTCAACGCACCTCATCTCAACGCACCTCATCTCAATGCACCTCATCTCAACGCACCTCATCTCAACGCACCTCAACTCAACGCACCTCATCCCAATGCACCTCATCTCAACGCACCTCATCTCAACGCACCTCATCTCAACGCACCTCATCTCAATGCACCTCATCTGAACGCACCTCATCTCAACAGACCTCATCTCAACGCACCTCATCTCAATGCACCTCATCTCAACGCAGCTCATCTCAATGCACCTCATCTCAATGCACCTCATCTCAACGCACCTCATCTCAACGCACCTCATCTCAACGCACCTCATCTCAACGCACCTCATCTCAATGCAACTCATCTCAATGCACCTCATCTCAACGCACCTCATCTCAACGCACCTCATCTCAATGCACCTCATCTCAACGCACCTCATCTCAACGCACCTCATCTCAACGCACCTCATCTCAACGCAGCTCATCTCAACGCACCTGATCTCAACGCACCTCATCTCAATGCACCTCATCTCAATGCACCTCATCTCAACGCACCTCATCTCAACGCACCTCATCTCAATGCACCTCCTCTCAACACACCTCATCTCAACGCACCTCATCTCAATGCACCTCATCTCAATGCACCTCATCTCAACACACCTCATCTCAACGCACCTCATCTCAATGCAACTCATCTCAATGCACCTCATCTCAACGCACCTCATCTCAACGCACCTCATCTCAATGCACCTCATCTCAACGCACCTCATCTCAACGCACCTCATCTCAACGCAGCTCATCTCAACGCACCTGATCTCAACGCACCTCATCTCAATGCACCTCATCTCAATGCACCTCATCTCAACGCACCTCATCTCAACGCACCTCATCTCAATGCACCTCCATCTCAACGCACCTCATCTCAACGCACCTCATCTCAATGCACCTCATCTCAATGCACCTCATCTCAACGCACCTCATCTCAACGCACCTCATCTCAACGCACCTCATCTCAACGCACCTCATCTCAATGCACCTCATCTCAACGCACCTCATCTCAACGCACCTCATCTCAATGCAACTCATCTCAATGCACCTCATCTCAACGCACCTCATCTCAACGCACCTCATCTCAATGCACCTCATCTCAACGCGCCTCATCTCAACGCACCTCATCTCAACGCACCTCATCTCAACGCACCTCATCTCAACGCACCTCATCTCAACGCACCTCATCTCAACGCACCTCATCTCAACGCACCTCATCTCAACGCACCTCATCTCAATGCACCTCATCTCAACGCACCTCATCTCAATGCACCTCATCTCAACGCACCTCATCTCAACGCACCTCATCTCAACGCACCTCATCTCAACGCACCTCATCTCAACGCACCTCATCTCAACGCACCTCATCTCAATGCACCTCATCTCAACGCACCTCATCTCAACGCACCTCATCTCAACGCACCTCATCTCAACGCACCTCATCTCAACGCACCTCATCTCAATGCACCTCATCTCAACGCACCTCATCTCAACGCACCTCATCTCAACGCACCTCATCTCAACGCACCTCATCTCAACGCACCTCATCTCAATGCACCTCATCTCAACGCACCTCATCTCAATGCACCTCATCTCAACGCACCTCATCTCAATGCACCTCATCTCAATGCACCTCATCTCAACGCACCTCATCTCAACGCACCTCATCTCAACGCACCTCATCTCAATGCACCTCATCTGAACGCACCTCATCTCAACAGACCTCATCTCAATGCACCTCATCTCAACGCACCTCATCTCAATGCACCTCACCTCAATGCACCTCATCTCAATGCACCTCATCTCAACGCACCTCATCTCAACGCACCTCATCTCAACGCACCTCATCTCAACGCACCTCATCTCAATGCAACTCATCTCAATGCACCTCATCTCAACGCACCTCATCTCAACGCACCTCATCTCAACGCACCTCATCTCAACGCACCTCATCTCAATGCACCTCATCTCAATGCACCTCATCTCAACGCACCTCATCTCAACGCACCTCATCTCAACGCACCTCATCTCAATGCACCTCATCTCAACGCACCTCATCTCAACGCACCTCATCTCAACGCACCTCATCCCAATGCACCTCATCTCAACGCACCTCATCTCAACGCACCTCATCTCAACGCACCTCATCTCAATGCACCTCATCTGAACGCACCTCATCTCAACAGACCTCATCTCAACGCACCTCATCTCAATGCACCTCATCTCAACGCAGCTCATCTCAATGCACCTCATCTCAATGCACCTCATCTCAACGCACCTCATCTCAACGCACCTCATCTCAACGCACCTCATCTCAACGCACCTCATCTCAATGCAACTCATCTCAATGCACCTCATCTCAACGCACCTCATCTCAATGCACCTCATCTCAACGCACCTCATCTCAACGCACCTCATCTCAACGCACCTCATCTCAACGCAGCTCATCTCAACGCACCTGATCTCAACGCACCTCATCTCAATGCACCTCATCTCAATGCACCTCATCTCAACGCACCTCATCTCAACGCACCTCATCTCAATGCACCTCCTCTCAACACACCTCATCTCAACGCACCTCATCTCAATGCACCTCATCTCAATGCACCTCATCTCAACGCACCTCATCTCAACGCACCTCATCTCAATGCAACTCATCTCAATGCACCTCATCTCAACGCACCTCATCTCAACGCACCTCATCTCAACGCACCTCATCTCAATGCACCTCATCTCAACGCACCTCATCTCAACGCACCTCATCTCAACGCAGCTCATCTCAACGCACCTGATCTCAACGCACCTGATCTCAACGCACCTCATCTCAATGCACCTCATCTCAATGCACCTCATCTCAACGCACCTCATCTCAACGCACCTCATCTCAATGCACCTCCTCTCAACGCACCTCATCTCAACGCACCTCATCTCAATGCACCTCATCTCAATGCACCTCATCTCAACGCACCTCATCTCAACGCACCTCATCTCAACGCACCTCATCTCAACGCACCTCATCTCAATGCACCTCATCTCAACGCACCTCATCTCAACGCACCTCATCTCAACGCACCTCATCTCAATGCACCTCATCTCAATGCACGTCATCTCAACGCACCTCATCTCAATGCACCTCATCTCAATGCACCTCATCTCAACGCACCTCATCTCAACGCACCTCATCTCAACGCACCTCATCTCAATGCACCTCATCTCAACGCACCTCATCTCAACGCACCTCATCTCAACGCACCTCATCTCAATGCACCTCATCTCAATGCATCTCATCTCAACGCACCTCATCTCAATGCACCTCATCTCAACGCACCTTATCTCCATGCAACTCATCTCAATGCATCTCATCTCAATGCATCTTATCTCACAACCTCCCTTCCCATCCCATGCATCTCCATGGCAATCAGGTGGACGTGCCAGTGAAGTACCTCTCCTTCTTCCTAGACGACGATGTTGAGCTCGAGCACATCAAGACGGTGAGAGCATAATGCGGTGTTGCTGTGTTGCTGTGTTGCTGTGTTGCGGTGTTGCTGTGTTGCGGTGTTGCTGTGTTGCTGTTTTGCTGTGTTGCTTGTGTTGCTGTGTTGCACGCAGCACATTGCGGTACAGTTTTGGGCATTGTAGGTGTGAAAGTCTCTCCTTCCTAAACGACGATGTTGAGCTCGAGCACATAAAGACGGTGAGTGCATGTAGTTTACGGTATCCTGGTATGGCCGTCAGTGCATGCACACATGTCAGTGCATGCACACATGTCGGTGGATGCACACATGTCAGTGCATGCACACATGTCAGTGCATGCTCACATGTCAGTGCATGCACACATGTCAGTGCATGCACACATGTCAGTGCATGCTCACATGTCAGTGCATGCACACATGTCAGTGCATGCACACATGTCAGTGCATGCACAGATGTCAATGCATGCACACATGTCAGTGCATGCACACATGTCAGTGCATGCACACATGTCAGTGCATGCACACATGTCAGTGCATGCACACATGTCAGTGCATGCTCACATGTCAGTGCATGCACACATGTCAGTGCATGCACACATGTCGGTGGATGCACACATGTCAGTGCATGCACACATGTCAGTGCATGCACACAGTCAATGCCATCCAGGTGGACGTGCCCCCTAGAAATCCTCTTTCGCCCAGTAGGCCTCCTCTCTCGGCTGGTAGGCCTCCTCTCCTTTCTTCCTAGACGACGACACTGAGCTCGACCACATCAGAACAGTGAGTGCACCAACGACCAGTCAGTTTACCATTGTTGCTTGTCATCGACGACCAGTGAGTGTTCCATCATTGGTTGGGTTCTGCAGGCACTTGACGTCGACGTCGACGTCGACATTGAGGAAGCTCTTCAAGCGATTTCGCGAGCACTGGTTACCACCCAAACCAGGTGCACTTTCCGAGCCTCGCTCGGAAGCCACGCGACCAAATTGCGGAATCTGCACGTGAAAGGAGAGAGGAGAGAAATTTCAAAATTGCGTAACAAAAACCTGCTGCCCCAGGGCAGATGAGAAATATGTCAAAAAATGTCGAAAAAATAACCTAGGGTTTGGTGAGTTGCGCTCACCAAGAGACAGTTAGCGCAGCTGCTGTTGTTTTTGCAGGGCAGGCCCAGGCCTTGCAGTTCGCAAGGTGGGGTCAAGCTTTGGCGGTTGCATTTTTGGGGTGTGGATGCCTAGTACACCCGTGCGGCCTGATGTAACGCCGCATGCAAGGTGGACTCCGCGATTGAGCAAATGTCAACGGTGCGTCAAGTCTGCATCAGATTTGCCAGGGAGGGAAGCGAGGGGGGGTGCTTCCCTGACGTCGATGTCATCTGCAGGTTGACCCGTTCTGCAGGCATCTCAACGTAACTAGGTTCGGGTACATTGTGCGAGGTTTGGGAGGAAATTTTCGGGCTGACGCTCGATCCGAGGCAAAAAATCGCGCTTTCGGAGGGTGCTCTGATGTTATCAGCACCTTCCTTTTTGGCCTGCAGAACGCAGCCATTGGTTTGTCCAGCTGAGTGCGACCGCGTGTGGTATCTGATATCACGAAGGTCGTGCATGTGTGCTGCCTGATCGTTGCAAGTTCCACGCACCCTCCCACTCCCCCCTTTGCCTTCCCTTCCTCTCCGCGCAGGAGTACGGGGCGGGGCGCATGCTAACGGGCGATGTGAAGAAGCGGCTGGTGGAGGTGCTGACAGCCATGGTGGAGCGCCACCAGAAGGCGCGCGAGCTGGTCACGGATGAGGTCAGTCGCTCCTCCTTTCCCTCTGGATTGCACTCTCCCCTGGCCAGTAGGCAGCGCTGCTCGCCCTGCGCTGCTCACCCCTACTGCTGTTTCCGCCACCTCTGCCCGACCTTCTCCTGTCTGATCCTCCCTCCCTGTTGTGTTGTTGTGATGTGTCCCCTGGCTCGCTTGCGCCTCACCTGTCATGCATGCATCCATATTTGTCATGCTTCCCTCCCAATCCGTGCAGATGGTGGATGCGTTCATGGCAGTGCGGCCCATGCCACACATGTTCTGCTGATTAACACCGATGGCAAAGCTCTTGGACTTCTACTGGTCGTGCCCTCCATTGTGTGTACAACATTGTTTAAGGGATACGTATCCATTGTGAAATAAGCTGTTTCTTCTATCTGATTAAATCAGGGCAAGAATCACTGACCAAACTGATCAAATCAAAACGCATTCCAGGGCTGAAGAACTACCATCCCCGGCCTAGCTTTCGCCCTAGCACACACTCGATCCACCCTACAGGTTCTGGCTCTTAAAGGCTCTTAGACCAAATCGCCCTCGCATGCTTCGTCTCGGGCGTATCCATGGCCGCCTCAAAGCTCTCCAACAGCACCAGCACCTGCTTGCAGTCCTTATCAATCACCTTCAGCCCCAGCACCAGCCCGTGCGGTGCCATCTGCTCCACAACCATGAGTTAACCATCCCTGCCCTACAACCCCTCCCTTAATCTAGAGATTCTGGCTCTTGGAAAAGGCCAGCCGGATAACCTGTCCCCCAATCGCGCTCGCATGCTTCGCCACGAGAGCATCAGTCGCCGCCTCAACGCTCTCAAACAGCACCAGCACCTGCTTCTTGCCATCCTTATCAATCACCTTGGACCCCAGCACGGGCCCATGCGGGGCCATGTGCTCCACAACCATCTCGGCGGTGGCGTCGGCAGGCAGGTTGCTGCAGTGCAGCATGCGCGTGGGCGCGCAGCAGTGCCGGTAGTTCTTGGGCGCGTTGCGGCCAAAGCGGTTGAGGTTGGAGGTGGAGTAGTCCTTGGTGTCGGCCGAGGGGTTGATGGACGGGTACTTGGAGTAATTCACCTCCAGCCGTTTGCCAAACACCGTGGCACCCTGAAAGTTGTGGGGGGAAGAGGGAGCAGAGAGATGTGACATGAGATGAAAGCACCCCCTTGGTGTCGGCCGACGGGTTGATGGACGGGTACTTGGAGTAGTTCACCTCCAGCCGCTTGCCAAACACTGTCGCACCCTGGTGGGTGGGGATGGTGGGGGGGGTGGGATTGGCGGGAGGTGGGATTGGCGGGAGGTGGGAGGGCAGAAGAGAGCACAGGTATGGGTAATAAAGTGATAGAAACGCATCACCTTGGTGTTGGCAAGCAGATCGATGAAAGGGTGGACTTGGTGTGGTTCACCTCCAGCCACTTGCCTCACACAGGGGGCGCGAGGCATGAGCTGCACGAGGGCGTAGCCGGGCTTGCTTGAGGCACCTCAAACGCATGCCGCATGCCGTGAGCCAGACCACACTGACCATACAGGCCATACGGACCCAACAAACCATATGGTTCATGACAGCATACCTTGAGGTACGTCACGGCAAGCTCTCCCTGCAGCCCGTCGGCGAGCTGCACGAGGGCGTGGTCGGGCTTGTTGTGGAGGAACTTGATGCGCAGCACGTTGCCGTAGTTGGACACCAGGTTGAACAGCTTGTCCGCGTCAACCACCTGAAAGGGATTGACGGCACCGGAAAGGGAAAGGGTGACGTGAGGTAAGGATGGTGCATGGTAAGGGCAAGGGAACACATTGGTATCACTTGCTCCGAGACAACCGCAGCGGTGTGCGCGTCTCCAGCAGCAACTGCCCAAAACAGGACAGCCTTCCTCATGGGCTACGTCAGCATGCCACATGTCGCACGCTTGACGTTAGCGTACCTCGTGGTTGATGTTAGAGATGAGCAGCGTGCAGCGGTCGTTGGTTCCTGTCACGCCAGGCGGCAGGTTGCCTCCAAACATCTGTGCCGCAGCTGCTGCAGCCATAGTCGCGCCCTGAATACAACAATGCAATATAAATAAGGCCAGTTGAAAAAAGGAAGTGCAAACATCCACTGTAAGAAGCGACAGCAGCAGCAGCAGCCGCAATGAGCGTAACGGCTTACCCCATACGCATTGAGCCCGCCCATGCCAGGCTGGGGCATGCCAGGTTGGCCCATCTGGCCCATTTGCCCCATCTGACCCATCTGCCCCATCTGTCCGGGGAACACCCCGGGCCGTTGCCCAGGAATGCCGCCATACACGTTCCCACCCTCGCCGAACAGAGATTGCTGCTGCGAAATCGAAAGCAGAAAAAAACCAAAAACAAAAGAACGTCAGCTAGACAAACGACAGGGAATGTACGTTCACGGGACAGAAAACGCCCTGTCACCTTACCATGATGTTTCCGGGCGCCTTCCCGGGCTGGTCCGGGAGTTGGTTGACGTAGTCCCTGGTGCGCTCGTTGTTGTAGTGCACCTGCAGCTCGCTCAGACTGCACGCACACACAACACACACACGGCGACGACGACCACCACCACCCCATTCACCCGCGCGCACACATGCAAGCGTAGAAAAACGCATGCACACGGATCATGAAGAATTCGACATATTGGCATGACGAATTTGAACAGACAGGTGTTTAGCCGAGACTAGAATGGATGTCCAGGGACGATGGTCTCACTTGGAGAACTGGATGTCGAGCGTGCAGCAGCCGTCGTAGATGTTGCGGCCCTGCAGGTTGTTCTTGGCCTGGATGGAGCTCGCCTGGTTGTTGTACTGCACCAGCGCCTGCAGACCTGCAGCGCGCCAAGCACAGCACAGCAGGACAAGGAGACACGGGACAAGCACGAGAGGCAGCACAACGCGGGTCAGAACGCCACACCTGATGCAGCACAGCCGGTTTTCCCCGAGAGAGGACGATCCTCACTCCGGTGCATGGCAAGCTAGGGCCGAACTACAGGGTCGGCTTGAGAGCAGGAGAAGGGCAGAAGGAGCGGAAGAAGCAGACGGAGCAGAAGGAGCAGAAGGAGCGGAAGGAGCAGGAAAGAGACGGCGGAGAAAGGAGCGAGGGCGAGGGCGAGGGAGGGAAGGGAAGGGGAGGGGAGAGGGAAAGGGAAATCCGACCAGCAGCTTTCTGGAAAGTGACGATCTTCTCAACAAAGCCATGGGGAGAAAAGACTTGGTGGAGCACATCCACGTTGATGGGATAGAGCGGGTTGTGGATAGTGACTAGGATTATGCGGTTAGGGGCTCCCTGGTCAGACGACGAGAAGGAGAGGGGAGAGGGAACGGAGGGGAGGAGAGGGGGAAGAGAGAAGAGGAGAGAAGAGGGGAGGGAGAGGGAGAGGGAGGGGTAAGAGCTGAAGAACAGATAAGAGAGAAAGGCGGAGAAAGGTGACGAAAGGCGGAGAAAGGTGACGAAAGGCGGAGAAAGGTGACGAAAGGCGGATAAAGGTGACGAAAGGCGGATAAAGGTGACGAAAGGTGGAGAAAGTTGACGAAAGGCGGAGAAAGGTGACGACAGGCGGAGAAAGGTGACGGCAGGCGGAGAAGGTTGACAACAGGCTACGGAAACGGACGAGAGCAGAGAGGAGACGGGGACGGCGTGAAGCGGATGGTCGGTCCGGAGTTCCTGGTCGCCGAGCGGCTACTCAGCTCAATGCGATCGAGACAGTCCGCCCGACGGTCTCAGACCGACCACCGGCTTCAGCCTTGCGGTCCTCGTTAATCAGTTGGAATTCCGGCCAGTCACGATTCACGTACCTCCTGGTGCGTCCTGGCCGGGTTCTCGTTAGGCGTGAGGACCTGATGAGAGGAGAACTGGCAGTACACATTCCTCCCCCTGCACATGGTTACATGGTTACACGTGGCTGTGAGAATTTAACGGCGATCGACAGCACGATGAGCCGAAAAGCAAAAGTACCATGAGAAATACAAACGGATAAAAAAAAATGTATTACTTGATGGAGGCCTGCACGCCAGTGTAGAACTGAATCATGTTGATCGCAGCAGCAATGTCCTGCATCTCAATGAGGGCCTGCACGAACCGCGAACGGAAATCGTGAGAGAATGAAGTAGAATAACGAAATCGACGACGCTGACGGCCGCACGAGAAAAAATATCCATGCGAAATAAAAAGCGAACCTGATTCTTGGCTCTCATGACGACAACCCTCTGTACCGGACCGAAGTTCTGCGCCAGCTGCTGCACGTCGACCTGCAGAATCGGAAAATGTTATCAATGGACATTAAAACGAAAACGAGGAGTGAGCTTTCAAATCGGCGGAATACACGAAAAATCACGGAAATTCTACCAACGAACACAGCAGATCTGGACCGTGTTAGGTGTTCGTAATCCTCACCTCAGTGGCTTCAGATGGCACATTCCGGATGTGAATGACCTTCGACGCTGATTCGGCCATGGCTAACCGATTCAAACGGAGAGGAAAGTTAGTAGGGAACTAATTTGACACGAGAGAAGGAAACTAATCTGAGGGTTTTGAGGCTGTGATTGTGAGATCTAGAACTGCAGTCGAATTCGAGTATGGGACGGTACTGTGTTGGCATGGATGAGAGGAGGCGAGCGGAGCCGAGCTGGCCAGCCCTGGCTTGATAAGTTTCCAAGTCATGAGAGCAGCAGACGAAGAAGGGAGCGCTGGTGGGTGTACATTGTACACTCATTCCAGTACCACCCATTGGCTCTATACATGCAATATTAAATCTCCATCATCCATCACATGGCTCTAGCTAGCTACTCATCAGGTTCTACCACAACTCTCAGAATAGTTTCGTAAGATAAAATCCAGGTCCTTATTAAAATTCACATGTCAACAAATAATGAAGCAAGCAAAATCTTCTCATCATATCACGACGCAATGACCAATAGGTTTTCCTTATAAATACCAGGCCAACAGTCATTGCTTGTAGCGCCTGCACATGCTCAAGGTTTCACCATTTCTTTTAGATCCCTACATCTTGCGATGCGGTTTCAAGCGGGTACGTGGTTGTCATGCCAACGTCCGGTCTGGATGCTCCGCCAAAACGTCGACCCGATCGTCACCATACATCCACCAACCTCACCAACTGGTCGACCTCAGCAGCCAATCACGGCGACCCTTCCTACCACCCCACTGGATTTCCCACAGTCTGCTCCACTGACTTTCCAAATCCCACACTCCACTCCACCCCACCCCTCTCCATCCCTCCCCTGCATGCCCTGATGCTGCCTCCCTCCCTCCTCCCCTCCCCTGCATTCCTGATGTTCCCTCCCCCACAATCTAGGCCAGGTGGCCTGTCTGCTGAATTCCCTTATCTGGTGGTGTCAGATGGCTTATCTCAGCAGCTTTTGGTATGGCCTTGTATGGTCTGCTCATTGTCTCGTCTACAACCTTCCCAAGCTCCTGCGCCTCTTACTGACCAGAGCGTTTCCAGCATCCTATTGAATGGTCGGTTTCTACATTCGGATTCTGAGGCCTGCGATGATCGCTTAGCTGCTCTGCTGCTTAGATAGCTTTCGTGATCTTGTAGTTGCTATTAGTTTGGACACTTCCTTAAAGCGCGAGTCCCAATTGGATCATACTTCAGAATGGCGAACATTCCGAGTCTTTCCATGTCATTGCTTCTCCTGATCGCTCTCGCCGCGTTGTCGCCTTTAACCGCTGGCCGCTCCGCGACTTACAAGAGGCGTCTCGCCGCTTTCGCCTCCTCTTTGGTATGGTTCTCGTCTTGCCGTTTTCACTGGCCTCCCTGGTACGGTTCTTATCTCGCCGTTCTCGCCGCTTCCGAACCTTAAAATATAATGAAGGCAATGAAGGCACTTACCTGTCAAACAAGTGTTTCTGAAACCACGGGTGGTGTGGGATGGGTGGTGGTGTGTGGGATGGCTATGGTGGTTCGGCCTGTGCTTTGATGCTCGTTTTCAGCAGATGAACGATAGTCCCGGCAGTCGCCTCCAGCGAGAGAATTCGTTTCTGTGAATTCTAGAAAACCAACCCATTTTATGTGGCTACGGTGCCTTGGCCTGTGTTTTAGGCGTCTATGCTGCCTTGCTCTGTGCTTCTGTGCTTCTGTGCTTCTGTGCTTCAGCAGATAGATGAGAATCCCGGAATTCGCGTCCGGCGAGAGAGCTGGGTTTTGAGAACTCTCAAAAATCAACTGCTTGACTTCTGCTTCTATGCTGCCTTTGTCTATGATTCTGTGCTTCAGCAGATGGACGAGAGTCCCGGCAGTCGCCTCCAGCGAGAAAGTGCCGCCGCTTGGACTCCTTCCACGAACCTTCCCAGCTTCCTGCAGCAGAGCGTTCCGGCTGACTCATCCAGCGACGTCGCTGACGCAAGTCCGGGTCAGAGCAACGGGGCGACATCCCGCACCGACCCTGGACTTGCCGTTCCTGCTGATTCTGCATCAAAAGCAGCATCATCATCATCCTCATCATCGACATCTCCATCCACAGAATCTACACAGTCGAACGGTTCTGTGAAGAACGACCCAAGCCCCTACCAGCAGCCAGGTTCGCAGCAACCAAACCAGCACCCACCACCGCCGCAACAGCAGCAGCAGCAGCAGCAGTGGCAGCCGGAGCCGTTCGGCCAAGTGCTACCTTCCCAAGGCGACCTGGCATCGCTCCCCGACTGCACGCGGCAGCTTGCGCCCTTCCCCAAGCTCAACCGGTCGGACGAGGCGGTCAGGCGCTTTGCCTGCATGGCGGAGACGTACCTGCGCCCCTGGGTGGGGATGCCGCTGGGGGGCAGCGGCGGTAAGAGCGGGGGTGGAGGGGAGGCGGAGGAGGAGCCACGTGGCATTATTTCGCACGCCATGCTGCAGCACGTGGCGTCTGAACCCGGGGTGAGCTCTGTCACTTGACACGTGTCAAGAATCCGTTCTTCCCCAGCAGAACTGGCTCTGTAACTTCATACCTGCACAGGTCTTGCTGCACCCACTCAATCAGTCCGTTCCCCCTGCCTATCCCCCATACCCACAACCCCGCCAGTTCATGTCGTGTTTGGGTCGCATCCGGATAATAGACGGCAAGGTCTTTTTCCGCTACGGGGCTTCCACTACCAGTGGGACCGCCTGCTTTCCAGTCAACTCAAACCCCATCCCCCCCTCCCCCACTGTTCTCTCACTTTCCCAGTTCATGTCCTGTTCGGGTCACATCCGGATCATAGACGGCAAGGTATTTTTCCGCTACGGGGGCTTCCACTACCAGTGGGACCGCCTGCACCGCTTCGTGCAGTCAGTGAAGCTCATCCAGGCCGCCCTGCACCAGTACGGCCTGCACCGCCTGCGCGCTGAATTCTTCCTCTCCACGTGCGACCTCCCCAAGAGCTTCGACAGCTCCCTCTCGGGCATGTTTGGCGGCCGGCCGATCTTCAGCACGGAGTGGCTGCCCGGCACGCTGGACATTATCGTGCCGGATCCGCTGGACCTGTCAGAGGATTACCAGGCTGGCAAGGACGCCAAGGTGAGAGCCGCCTGGGCTGCTGGATCAGAGGGTTATTAGGCAGGGAGAGCGGGCGAGGTGAGGGTTGCTAGGCAGGAAAGGACGCCAAGTTGATCAACTGCGTCTTCTGCAGCTGCCCATGTGCTGCACGTGCCAGGCAGACCCCACATGTGTTGCGAATCCAACACACTCCATGCATTCACGTCCCTTCCTTCCTCACGCACCAGACCCCTCAGGAGAGAAAGGCAGGCAATGCAGTATTCAGGAGTGGCTTGACCAACTTTAAACTCAGTCTATCTGTAGACGAACATCCCATCCCACACATGCTTCATCCATCCATGCACCTATCTTTGCGTGTTCACCTGACAGACCCCCTGGGAGAGCAAGGCGTTTATGGTTTAGGGTTGGGGTTGAAGGTTCATGGTTTAGGAGCGGGCTCCTGGAGGGGGCTATAGCATCAGGCTCTAGCAGCTGGTCTATCTGTCGGCGCCTAACCACCCACACATGCTCCATCCGTGCACTATCTTTGCCATTCACCTGCCAGACCCCCTGGGAGGGCAAGGCAGTCTTCAGGGGTAGGCTTCATCAATATCTATCAAGCTTCTAGCTGGGCCATTGATGGAGGCACCTCATGATTCAACTCCCCTCCCACCCTCACCCGCCAGACCCCCTGGGAGAGCAAGGCGAGCAAGGCGGTATTCAGGGGCGGCTTCACCAACTTCAAGCTGGGCCCCGACCACCGATGGCGCGTCAGTCCGCGCTACCGCCTGCACCGGTCAGACACTCTTACCCTTCCAAGCCCGTTCCTCTGGTCCTCCAGTCTTTCCTCTCCCCCCCTCCCTCTCCTTCCCCCCACCACGTCTTCCACCACTCGTCCCTGTGCTGCTTTCTTGTGAATGAAAGAAGAGTGCTTTTGACCTCAGTTGGCCAGTCAGCCTGCACTACTACCTGCACTGTTCATATGCCCTTGTGTGACTTACACCACTTTCCCTTCCCAGACTTACACATCTTCCGAGCTCTTGCCTGCTTGCCCTCGGTTCAGTTTCATGCTCTTGCTTCAGTGTACTCTCCCCTCCCACACTCTGTCCCTTCCCCATTCCTGCACTGCTAATCTCCTCTGCATTTGTGAGCGAAGTGATGTTTTTCTTAGAAATCGATTCTTCCAGCCTTTCAAGGCTCCAAGCTTCCCTACCCTCTGCTCTGTGCTGTCTGCTTGCTGCATTGGGGGGCATGAATGCACTCACGTGGGCCCTCTCACGTTACCATGTGTGCCTGTTGCATGTGGTATGGTATTTCCCTCCCTGTTGCCTTCGGCAAATGCAAGCTGGGTTATGCATGTGGCGTCATTTGATGATGGATGGGTGGGTGTTGTGGCATTGGGTTGGGATGCAGGGGCGGACTGCACGCTTGACAGGATGACTGATTTGCGCCCGGATTTACTCGATGCGCGAGTCATGAGACTACTGGTTGACGACAAGACAAGAAACATGTGAGTGCCTCGTGCAAACACTTAGAGAAGCCATCAAAGGGCCAGAAACGTGTGACATGCAAACACTTTTGAAACGTCTTTGAAGACCAGAAACATGTTTTTTAGACGCAAACAGGACTCCAAAGACTGGGAAACATAGCGGCAATTATCTCACAGACGATGCCCTTTGCTGACTAGTCACCTGTGCATGCGTGGCTGCAGGGCCATGAACGACGGGCTGAGCGAGGCCCCCAAGATGGGCAAGGCGGAGTCGCAGCGCTTCAAGTACGAGGTCGTCGTGGACGGGGGGGCCGGCTCCTGCCGCACTTGTGGGGTTCTGGGGAGCGATCAGGTGGGTATGGTGTTTCTTTCTATTGGTAGGCTGGGCTGGGCAGCGACCAGGTGGGCTGGGCAGCGACCAGGTGGGCTGGGCAGCGACCAGGTGGGCTGGGCAGTGACCAGGTGGGCTGGGCAGTGGGCTGGTGGGTCTGTTGTGGTGCACGCGTGCCAACTCTGATTCCATGTCGTTGCCTCGGAGGCCACGCCCTTTGCTCAGCTCCATCAGTAGCTGCTCCAGCCGGGAGTGATTCTAAAGCTGATTCCATTATCTTCCCATCCCCCCCCCCCCAAAAAACCCCTTCGCCAGGCCATGATTCGGCAGGACACGCCCTTCGCCCAGTTCTACCAGCCGCTGCTGCACCCGTGGCGGCACTTCATTCCCACGGACCACTTCTTCGGGGACCTCTTTGACCGTGTGGAGTGGGCTCGCAAACACGATAAGCAAGTGCAACACATCATCGCCAACGCGCACCGTGTTGCCAGGTGCGGATCGGCTTCCCTCCCGTTGCGTGATGCTATTGTGCTGCCATGCATTGACACCCTACCCACACTTGCCCCTGGCGCCACTTCACAGGCCATTGCACTGGACGAACCTTCTTCAGCATGTCTCTGTTCCCTCCACGTCACTTATCAGGTGGGGATGTTCCCTTGAAAATCGCACAATCCTACCGGTCTATTCTCCTCGCCAAGCACTCCCCTCAAGCCCTGGAAGACCTTTCCACCTTCACTCCTCCACACAGGGCATCCTCCTCGTGCCTTCTTCTCCCCTCCTCTCCTCATTCCCCCATTTCTCCATTCCTCCATCCCCCCAACCTCCCCCCCCCCCCCCCCAATCAGGTGGGGCTGTTCCCTCGAGGGTCGCACCCTCTACTGGGCCATTCTCCTCGTCAAGTACTCCACTCAAGCCCTGGAAGACCCCTCCGCCGTGCAACCCCCCGAACGAGTCTCCACGTGCCCCGCGCCGCCAGACAAGGCGCGCATGCGGCCCACACAGGACGAGAGTGATCGGGAGACACCGGACCCGGCCTGGCCGCCCGTGTGTGCGGATAAGGACGTGGCGCGGGTGAGGCAGCCGCTGTGCACCTTCTTCTGTGTGAAGGGACCCATGCCAAGAAATAGGCAGATCTGGCTCAGCGCTGACCTGTTTGACTCCGTTGACTTTGTGGGGCCTCACCTAGCTGACATGGAGTAGGCTGACACTAGGTGTGAGGTACCAGATTCTTGATAGGTGAGGCTATCCGTTGCATGTGGCTGTCATATAAGGGCGTGGTTCCTTAAAGCGAGGGTCTCAAGAAGCAGAAAACCAAATCCAAAGGTTTTGGATTTCCCCCCGATATTGACAGGGTTACCCTTTTAAGCCCCGCGACCAGCAACGACCTGAGAAGCGAGATCCTGATTGGTCCAACCATCCGCTTCTCAGGTCGTTGCTGGTCGCGGGGCTTAAAAGGGTAACCCTGTCAATATCGGGGGAAAATCCAAAACCTTTGGATTTGGTTTTCTGCTTCTTGAGACCCTCGCTTTAAAGCTAGAACAGCCTGTGCCCGAATTTCCACCAGACTGTACCACGCCCTAATTCCTGAAGGTCTGACAAACTCGCGCCTAGCTGACATAGAGGAGCAGATGGCTGCTGATGGGGCGTTGCTTGTTGAAGCAGCAATTACGGCTGTGTGGCGCGTGCGAAGCTGTTTATCTCTGTTGGACACTGTGGGGCCTCGGGTTTCTGAGCTGGCTTCAACGTCCGCTATCAAGCATGAAGTACGACTGTGAATGCTATTCCACATGATACCTCTGACGTTGCGGATACAATGCTTCAACCACGGCACGTAAATTGGGGTTTCTTTCTCTCTTTTTTATAAAAAAAATATTATATATATATGAAGGCACTTCACGCGTAGCATCCATTGAGAAAGCCCCAAAGAGAACGCAGCGCCTCACGCGAAAGAGTCTTCCGCGTACTTCTGAGCAGTTGCAAGGAGGTGAGCCATGGGGAAATCACCTGAGATGGTCTCAACAGGCCGCCCCCGTTGGAAGATGATCACAGTGGGCGTGGCGCTGACGTTGAACGTCTGGGCCATGAACGGGAGGTTGTCAGTGTTCGCCTTGCAAAAGGCGAGCTTACTCGCGTCCCCGAACCTCATTGCGAGCTCATCGACGAAGCGAACAACCTCGTCGCACTGAGCTTCGGCGGTCCAGAAGAGGACCAGGACGGGAGTTTCGCGATGAAGAACGAGGCTGTTGAAGGTTTCGTCATCGAGGTCTACAACCATCGTAGATAAATAACAATCAGCCTAAGCTGGCAGCTAAACAGAAGAATCAGCGAAATGCAGAAAGAAATGAAGGCGGTACTGACGTTTGGTGGCAGTGGCAGTGGTTTAGTAGTCCACTCACAACGCGCGCAGAGCGCGTCAGAGAGCGTTAAGCAGGATCGCAAGCAAATGCGCGTCCCAATCCAAGATTGGCTACCCGCGTAAGCTTATCCGAATGTCGCATAAGCTTATGCGACAGTCAAAGTGGATAAGCCCAAGCAGGAGGCATTGGAGTTCACAAGGTAGTCCCAAGGTTGGCCTCCCAGTCTAGGGCTGTCGCATTAGCTTATCCATCTTGACCGCATACGCTTACGCGACGGTCAAGAATAGGGAGCGACGTCGCCATTGAAGCTTTGCGAGAGAGAGCGACGGTCAAGTTCAGCGGGGCGACGACGCGTTGAGATTATGAGATGTTGCCGCTGGCTGTCAGGTGGGGTTTGGTGGTGGGCGGTGGTCGGTGGTCGGCTGGAGGCAGAGATCATTGCGGTATTACGGTACTACGGTATTCTGAGGCATTCTGAGCCCTAGTCACTTGATTCTACTCTCGATGATGCCATGCCATCCCTCCTACAGCCAGCCCAATGGCCTCAAAAGACAGGAGCGCTACGGCGTAAACTTCCTACCCTTTTCGCTAATTCAGCAACTAACTGTAAGGAATTAGGAATTACTTACTGAGGCTTGCTACAGAGCGTACGACTCGAACAGTCCCGAACCATCGCCAGGGTTCCAGACCTTTCAGTCCGAGCCTCCTGGGCCTTTCCGGACCTTGCTACGACACATCGAGGACCTTCGATACCTTTTTCGAACCTTCCGATCCTACGTTCAGGATCACCCTAGGCTTTCTATACATTGTTTTGTCTTTCATTTTATTGTCATTCACTCGTTCACAGTTTCGCCATTGCCCTCCGCGCTTCTCGGCAGTCCCATTCATAACACTATCTATCAACTTGTATATTAGTTGTTATAGTCTCAATAGATGCATACTCTTAGAGAGTACAACACCAAAGCATAAGAACCCTTGTATGCCCTTGTCTAGACTACTTCATTACGCTAACATGTTATCGGAGTAGGTAGTGTCAAATCATATATATATATATATATATATGATTTGACACTATATTGTCAAACATATGTATTTGTCATGCTTATATAGACTGTATAGGGTAGCCTCTTAGAGGGTACAACACTTAGGTATATCTGTGTGTACTCTCACTCTACCATTATTCAATTCTCTATTTGATATAATATCACGCGTAGGTAGGATCCCCCCCCACCTACCGCTTCCGCTCGCCCCCTAGCTGGGCCCCGTCGTGCCTCCCTCCTAGCCGCGACCCTCCCTAGCCCCGTCGCGCCCCTCCAGGGCCCTGTCGCGCCCCTTTTCTGGGCCCCGTAGCGCCTCTCCTGGGCCCCGTCGCGCCCCTCCTAGGCCCCGTAGCGCCCCTCCTAGGCCTCGTCGCGCCCCTCCTGGGCCCCGTAGCGCCCCTCTTGGGTTCAGACGCGCCCCTCCTGGGCCCCCTGTAGTGCCCCTCCTGGGCCCCGTCGCGCCCCTCCTGGGCCCCGTAGCGCCCCTCCTGCCCCATCGTGCCTCCCTCCTAGCCGCGACCCTCCCTAGCCCCGTCGCGCCCTTCCTGGGCCCCATCGCGCCCCTTCAGGGCCCCGTCGCGCCCCTCCAGGGCCCCGTCGCGCTCCTTTCTGGGCCCGTAGCGCCTCTCCTGGGCCCCGTCGCGCCCCTCCTAGGCCCCGTAGCGCCCCTCCTGGGCCTCGTAGCGCCCCTCCTGGGCCCCGTCGCGCCCCTCCTGGGCCCCATAGCGCCCCTCCTAGGTTCAGTCGCGCCCCTCCTGGGCCCCGTAGTGCCCCTCCTGGGCCCCGTATCGCCCCTCCTGGGCCCCGTCGCGCCCCTCCTGGGCCCTGTAACGCCACTTCTGGGCCCCGTCGCGCCCCTCCTGGGCCCCGTCGAGCCCCTCTTGGGCCCCGTCACGCCTTCCGGCCCTGTCGCACCGTCCGGCCCCGGCGCACCCGCCCGGCCCCGTCGCGCCCAGCCCGGCCTCGTCGCAGCCGCCCGGCCCGTCGCACCCGCCCGGCCCCGTCCCGCTCGCCCGGCCCCGTCGCACCCGCCCGGCCCCGTCGCGCCCGCCCGGCCCCCGTCGCACCCGCCCGGCCCTGTTGCACCCTGCCCGGCCACGTCGCAGCCGCCCGGCCCCGTCGCACCCGCCTGGCCGCCGTCCCGCTTGCCCGGCCCGTCGCACCGGCCCGCCCTGTCGCACCCGCCCGGCCCCGTCGCCCCAACTCGGCTCCGTCGCGCCCGCTCGGCCCCGTCGCCCCGTCCCGGCCCTGTCGCACCAGCCCGGCCCCGTCGCGCCCGCCCGGCCCCGTCGCGCCAGCCCGGCCCCGTCGCGCCCGCCCGGCCCCGTCGCGCCAGACCCCGGCCCCGTCCTCCCCACTGGTACGGTTCCCCCCCACCCCGCCCTGCACTGCCCTGCTCCGTACCGCCCGCACCACACTGTACTGCCTTGCACCGCACTACACCGCACTGCACCTCACTGCACCGCACTGCACCGCACTGTACCGCACTGCACCGCACAGCACCGCACTGTACTGCACTGCACCGCACTGGACTGTTCCTGATGGCGGCGGAGCTTCGCTTCGACGCTGAAGGTCAGCCCCTAGAGTTCGAGGCGTGGCTTGCCGACCTCCGCCGCCAAACTCACTGGCAGCGGCAGGATGGTGAACCGCTTTCCGCACACCTTGACGGTACGCTCCCCTGCCCAGACCCCCCTGCTATTCTGCCCGCTGACCTCACACCCACTGAGCGTGAGTCTACTGCTGCCACTGCCCGTGCGCGCTCTGTCTGGCTTTCTCACGATGCTGTCGCCCAGCTTGCCATTAGCAACGCCCTCCCCCCGTCCGAGCGTCCTCGCTTTAGGTCCCTCACTACTGCTCAGGCATACTTAGATGCTGTCATCAAGCGCTATTCCACCCCTCCGGCTGCCTCGGTGGGTCGCCTGATCCTCCCGATGCTCTTTCCTGACCTTGCATCTTTCCCCACTGTCTCTGACCTCGCTGCCCACCTGCGCTCGATAGAGGAGACCTGGCGCGCCGCCTGCACTGACGCACAGCTTAGAGCCCACCAGCCGCCCATTACCTCTACCCTCTACCTGCTTGCCACCCGCCTCCCTGACCACCTTGCTGTCGCCCGCGACCACTTCCTTAGCATTCACCCCGCCGACCTCACCCTCACTGACTTTGTAGACACCCTGACTGTGATAGAGACCCGTCACCGCTCCATCGCCCAGGCGAGCGGTGTCGTGCCGGTCCCTATCTTTCAGGGTTGTGCCCCCGCCCAGTGTACCTTCTCCGACGGCTCTGTCGCCGTGGCTGAGACTGCTGCTGCAGCGCAGTTTCGTTCGGGGAAGGGCCGCCGCCCAGGGTTGAGCGCGGCGGAGGCGGGGGTGCGGGAGGGGTAGTGGTGGGGTCGGGTCGTCTGGTGCTGGAGCGGACGAGGGGACCCTGCCCAGTCCAGCTGAGCCGCCGCCCCTGCAGTTGCAGCAGCCGCCGCAGTCGCAGCCCTCGCAGCAGCCATCGCAGACGCGGCAGACGAGTGTCCTCCCGCCCGGGTGGCCCGGCGCTGGCGGTGGCTGGGCGCGTGGTGGTGTGTCGAGTGGTAGCTCTGGCGGCGGGCGCTGTCAGTACCAGATCCAGACCGGTCCTCGCCGCGGCTTCGTTTGCGGTAAGATCGGTCACTCCACTCCCCGCTGTTTTCGTCGCCTGGACGACCTCTTTCGTCAGCGCTTCGGCCCGTCGCCAGACCTCCCGGACTGGCACAGTTTGCTTAGTCGTAAGATTCAGATTTTTGATATGGACATGGATGCCATTGTTTCTGCTCTACATGTGATGTATGCTGATGACTCTAGTGTGCTTCCAGCTTATTACTCCCTGTTGCCTAGTGTAGGTGTGCCTAGCGTAGCCTCCCCTGCTGCGTCAGGCGTAGGATCCTCTGCTTTGTGTAGTCTTGGTGCTTCCGCCGTCGTTCCGTCGCTAGACGCCTCTGCTTCGCTTTCCTTCACCTTGGACTCTGGCGCTTCTCGGTGTTTCTTCCGCGACTCCACCACCCTGACGCCGCTTCCTGTTCCTGCTGCCGTTTCTCTTGCTGACCCCTCTGGCGGTCCGGTAGTCGCCCGCAGTTCCACCACCCTTCCCTGTCCGGCGGTTCCTTCGGGCTCTCTTACAGGTCTGCATATCCCCTCGTTCTCCAGGAACCTAGTTGGTGTCGGCTGCCTCCAGGACCTTGGCGTCACCACTACGTTCCCTGGTCACGAGCGGTATGCTGTCTGTACCGAGGCCGCCACGGGTGCCCCCTGTCCACGTTCCCCCGGGACCCGGTGTCCGGCCTGTTCACTCTAGACACCGTGACCCCCCCGGCTGGGGCGCTCCCTCAGGTGGATGCGTCTTCCCA